GTCGAAGATGAGTCTGAGCTCGAGGAGGTGGTCAAAAGTCAAGGCTTTCAAATCACAAGTATGCAAGATAGCCTCTCACAAATCCTCCAACTCTTGAAGACAAAGGAAGACCATGCCAAGGGTTCAAGAGGGAGAACGCGCGAGGAGAAACAGAAGGCCGCCCAAGTCCTCGACAGCCCTGCTCAGACAGAAAGCGGGGGACAAAAAGCGGGGGACCCTCTATCAAGAGAGTTATTCAAGACTCCAGTCCCGCCAAACTTCTTCTCCCTCGGTCTACCTACGTATACCGGGACGTTAGATCCCACAGACCATCTTTGCGCCTTCATGCTGAAGATGCAACTCATTAAGGCGCCGGACTCCTACTTGTGCAGAGTGTTTCCCGTCACCTTTAGTTGTCCGTGTCGGACGTGATACACCTCCCCTCGGAAGGGTAATCGAGAATTTCGAGCAATTTGCGATGCTCTTCTCCACGAAGTTCGCATCCCAGCGACGTCGCAAACTCACCATTTCGGCACTCATAAATTGTAGACAAAGGAAGGAGGAGTCGCTTGTGGATTTTTACGACTGATGGAACGCGATCTCATGCAAAATAGATGGCAACTCCTCGGTCGTAGCCGCAGGAAACCTCAGAATATCCACGAACAGCATCGAATTCAAGAGGACCCTGATAAAAAAGAAAGTTATGCTAACGTCGTGGTCAGACCTGAACCAGCTGGTACAGCAAGCCATCTTGCTCGAGGAAGCATTAGCTACCGACGATCGGAGCCATCAAGGACGCCCCAGGATCGATCCCCAAGAGAGTGTGGACGAAATTCGTATCGCAACAGATACACAGAGTGTGATGGAAAAAGGGAAGTGTACTCCACTGACCGAGAAATAGGAAGAGAAAGATGAAGGAGCGGTAGAAAGTCGGAGGCGTCCTCCGGTCAAGAACTACAAGAAGGAAAGAAGTGGTGCGACTGGCACCAAATCACTACCCTTGACACCACAGAGTGTAGAGAGTTCAAAGCCATCCTGAAACACTTGGCTTCAGGAGACCTACGAAGCCGCCTTGAAACACGACGCCCTCATCGAGACCATTCCCAGGAAATGCGGGAGGGCTCTCGTAGCCCCGAAATAGATAAAGCGAGAAGGACACAAAAAGAAAGGTCAAGGTCTCCATCAAGAAACAAGGTCATCTCACCTCAGAGGCAGTCTCCCGCTTACAGACTCCAACGCAACGATGACGACAGAATCGAGATCATAACCATAGCAGGATGTAGGAAGCGTCCGAGATCTGAAGGAGACCGCATAAGCCACTACCTTAGTGTCCAACGTAGAGTGCCAACCGACGTCACCTTCTTACCGTCCGAGTTAGCCAAAGAGGAGAATACGGAGGATCCCTTAGTTATCTCGTTCAGAACTGACAAATTCAAGGTCACTCGAGCCCTTGTAGATGACGGGAGCTCCGCGGACATCCTCTTCTACTCAGCGCTCAAGGGCATTGAGAAGAGCATCCAAGACCTCAATCCCTCCAACACCAGTTTGGTAGGGTTCTCAGGAACGAAGGTTCGCGTCCTCAGGTCGATCACACTCAGGGTCACCATAGGCAAGGGCGGGATCACGAAGACCAAACTAGTGGAATTCCACGTAGCGGATTGTCCTTCGGCGTACAACGTCAACATGGGACGCGGTTTCCTTGCTTCATTCGAGGCAATCGCGTCCACCTGCCACCAAATGCTAAAATTCCCTAGTGGGGGACAAACGGGACGCGTCTGAGGCAACTTAAAGGAGGCAAAGGAATGCTATCAAGCGAGCATTGAACACCTCGAAGTTGACCTCGTCGATGCAAGAGGAGAAATTCCGCTCCCCGAAGCTGTTGAGGGAGACGTAGTAGTCTCTTTAAACGAAGAGCGGCCAGACAGGACAGTTCGCATTTCGGCTCACTTAGCCGCAGAGGAAGCTCAAAAGCTGCTCACACTCCTCAGAGAGTTTCAAGACCTCTTCGCATAGGGACCAGAAGACATGCTCGGCGTCCCCCGCAGGGTCTCCGAGCACCACGTCTCGGTCAAGCACAAAGCACGACCAATAAAACAACGAAGAAGACACTTGTCGGTAGAAAAAAAAAATGGCCCTTGAGGAAGAGGTGTGGAGACTGCTCAAAGCCGGCTTCATCAGGGAGGTGAAATACCCCACATAGCTCTCGAACTCGGTTTTCGTACGCAAGGCAGGGGGCACCTGGAGAATGTGCATTGACTTCACCAGCCTCAACGCGGCATGCCCCAAAGACGCGTATCCATTCCCTCGCATCGACCAATTGATCGATGGAACCGCCAATCATGAGGCGCTCAGCTTCTTAGACATGTTTTCAGGATACCATCAAATCATTATGGCTGAAGGCGACCAAGAGCTCACTGCTTTCATGACGCCCATGGGCAACTTCTGCTATATGGTCATTCCCTTTGGGTTGAAGAATGCGGGAGCGACCTACCAGCTAATGGTCGATGCGGTCTTCAAAGACCAAATGGGAAGAAACGTAGAGGCCTACGTTGATGATGTTCTCGTCAAGAGCAAGAAGGCTGGCGACCACCTGTACGACTTAAGAGAGGCCAAAGCTTTGAGGTCAAAGCTTTTTTATGGGGGAGGGACTGATATGATCTCAATTTGGCCATTAAAACGGCTGGAATTGATCGATCATGAAGGCAAGCTAGGCACGTTGAAGAACCTTGATTTTTGTCTAAGTGTTTATGACGATTTCAGGTACCCACTTTGGACAAGCATAACTCTTGATTGGTGTGATGGAAATTCAAGCTCTTTGGCCTGTGTGGAAGAAGAAGAGCTTCTCTTTCGAATGGTATGCTTTGAAGATCAAGGAGGAACCAGAAGCTGGGATTTCAGAGTGATCAACATGCTAGCTCAACCCTGGGAAAACTGTCAGATTTGGCTAAGTATGGAAATGTAAGCAAGGAGTCATCTTTGGAGCTCTCGTCGAGGAGCAGGAAGGAGTGTCGAGATTCCTGGGTTGGCATTCATGAAATTACATACCTCCTTCTACAACGGCGTGGGATTGGATGATTGGTTTGATCCCTGGAAGTGATTGATCGGGAAGCTACAAAATCGTATCGACACTAGTGGAGGAGGAGCAATCCAAATCCGAGATGGATTAGGATTCTAGCCGCTGTTTGTTTTAATTTCCTTTTCCATTTAGAATTTGTGTTTATTTGAGTTATAGCCTGTTTAAGATGATCTTTACTTGCATTGTAAGATTAGTTAGCCTATTTAAACATTCTTCTACAATGTAATCGTCAGTTTTTGATCCATTGAATACAAAATTGAGCTTTGATTCATCTCGCAAGTTTGCTTGAGGAATTGAGTTGGATTGCTTGAAGGATTCTAAGCAATCGTGAGCTTGTATCGATCATTTCACCACCCTGATCGTGGCAAAGCATCGACCTAAAGGTTTCGAGCCTCTTTCCCTTGTGAAAGTTGCACGAAAACTCACCATCTAAACCGCAAAACCAACTCAGTTTTGTGGGTCTTGTTCGAGAAAAACAATCCAAGGTTCTAGACCTCTTGGCTGCGTGACTTTGATCTGAAACCCTACCTTGGGGTTTATCACGAAGGGGAAGTTCCCGGCAACGCAAATCCAGCAGGAAACCAGGAGTTGCTGGACAGGATTGCATAATTGGAACGCCAACTTGTCATCGCAGAACCCCATCACAATCGTCCCCGTCGAGAGCGGTGTGATAATCGGGAAGTAGATCCGCCAACGATCCCACCAGGGATCAAATTGGCCGTGCCGGCGTTTCAGGGCACGATCAATGCCTCAGCATTCATGGACTGGGAGCGAAAGATGATTCTTTTCTTCCAGTGTGGGCATTATACAAAACAACAAAAGGTGGCTCTAGTTCCTTCGAATTCACTGACTATGCAGCTCAGTGGTGGGAGTAAACTCGTCTCCGGCGATGGCAGAATTTGCAACCAGAAGTAACGGACAGGGAAGAGCTGCAAGGATTGATGCGCGATCGATTCGTGCCGGCGTACTATTAGAGGGAGCTCCACGAATCGTTGCGAGCGATTCGACAAGGAGGGCGTAGCGTGGAGGAGTACTTCCGCGAATTGGAACTGCTGCTAATGCGAACCGATGTGCGCGAAGATAGGGAGTCAACCATCGCGCGATTCCTCCATGGGTTGAACCAAGAGATAAAGCAAGAAGTCAACTTAAGGTCATTTGTGGACCTAGAAGACGATCTGCACCTTGCCATCAAAATAGAGAAGCAACAAAAGATGCTGCCTAGCAGAAAGGTTACTCCGACAAGCAAACAGGTGGCTGAAACAGTTGGTGATTCCAATTCGACTCCAACTTGGTTTGATTCTCCCAAACCTGTCCCCAGAAACGCGAATCCTGCTCCAATTGAGCGATCTGGGGGGATTCAGTGTTTCAAATGTCATGGTCGAGGCCATAAAGCAGTTCAATGACCCAATGTAAAAACACTGGTGATCAGAGATGGTGCCTACATTTCTGATGATGAACAGTCTCACTCTGGCGAAGAGGAGAAGGTCGATAAGAGCTTGAAATGGAAGTTGCAACATCTGGGAACCTTATAGGCGTCAATAGGAGAGCTCTGACCATCGAAAACGGTCCAGACTTCAGCTAGCGAGAAACCTTGTTCCATTCTCGTTACCTGGTCCAAGGAAAGGTTCTTTCAGTGATCATCGATGGCGGGAGCTGTACAAACGTCATCAGTCAAGATGTTGTAAACAAACTTGGGTTGAGAACAATTAGACACCCTGAGCCTTACAATTTACAATGGTTGAATGATTAGGGGGCAATTCGGGTGACGAAGCGGGCTAAAGTAAACTATGAAATTGGGAGGTATAAGGATGAGCTTGAGTTCGATGTAGCACCGATGCAAGTTGCCCATATACTGCTTGAAGACCCTGGCAATTCGACAGGGGAGTTTGCCATTATGGAGATACCAACCAATATAAAGTTCGTCATCTGGGTAAGCAGTATACACTTAGGCCAATATCGCCGGAAGAAGTAAGGGCAGATCAGCGGCAGATGGAAGCTAATCAACGACGATCGAAGAGGGAAGCTCTTGGAGAAGGGTCTGAGGATCCTCGCAGAAGTAATAGCATTCTTCAGAAGCTGATGCTTATGGGGTACAAGAAGCCCAGGGCTCCTTGTCGACGAAGACCCTGTTCAACGGCGACGAAACAGGGCAAGAGAGAGGTGGAATTGGTTGGGGCGATCTGCGAAGAGTCGAGCCTTGCCGAAACTGAGGATACGTTCCAAATTTCCCAGGAAGCTCGTATGCACCCTCCATTGGGACGACAATACCTGAATCGCTAAATCCAATTCGACCCAAAAGTGCTCTGGAAAGGGAAAAATTTGAAGGAAATTTGAGCTTATTGGGTGGACTCATTGGCGGTGATTCGATCCAAACGGCAAATGCAGAATCAATCATTATCAACCCAAGAAGTTGTACAAATGAATCAATTCGACTGGAAGTGCCTGAATTAGAAACCCCCAAATCTGAATTACAGTTCCTAGGTTCGACGAGTTCAAACTTCGACAGTGGCGGGAAATTGGGAAGTCGTGATTCGACGGCGAACACAATGAGTCGAAGGCCAACACCGGTCCAGAACTTCAATTAGAAGTCAGGCGAAGCTAATGGTGACCATGAATTGTGTTGTAGATCCCTGAGGAAGAAAGCCCCAATCTCGAATCTGAAGAACATTGCCAAGGTTGGCCAGAACTCTCAGTGTCAGCTACTATCTTACGATCCAATTTAGGAGCGATTATGTGATGAATATGAGATCGGAAGGCCAAAGATTTGAGGTCAAAGCTTTTTTTATGGGGGAGGACTGATATGATCTCAATTTGGGCATTAAAACGACTGGAATTGATCGATCACGAAGGCAAGCTAGGCAAATTGAAGAACCTTGATTTTTGTCTAAGTGTTTATGACGATTTCAGGTACCCACTTTGGACAAGCATAACTCTTGATTGGTGTGATGGACATTCGAGCTTTTTGGCCTGTGTGGAAGAAGAAGAGCTGCTCTTTCGAATGGTATGCTTTGGAGCTCAAGGGGAGAACCAGAACCTGGTTTTTCAGAGTGATCAACATGCTAGCTCAACCCTGGGAAAATTGTCAGATTTGGCCAAGTATGGAAATTTGAGCGAGGAGTCATCTTTGGAGCTCTCGTCGGGGAGCAGGAATGAGACTCGAGATTCCTGGGTTGGCATTCATGAAAGTATGTACCTCCTTCTACAACGGCGTGGGATTGGATGATGGGTTTGATCCCTGGAAGTGATCGATCGAGAAGCTACAAGTTCGTATCGACACTGGTGGAGGAGGAGCAATCCGAATCCGAGACGGATTAGGATTCTAGCCGCTGTTTTTTTTTTAATTTCCTTTTCCAGTTAGAATTTGTGTTTATTTGAGTTATAGCCTGTTTAGGATGATCTTTACTTGTGTTGTAAGATTAGTTAGCCTACTTAAACATTCGTCTACAATGTAATCGTCAGTTTTTGATCCATTGAATACAAAGTTGAGCTTTGATTCATCTCGCAAGTTTGCTTGAGGAATTGGGTTGGATTGCTTGGAGGATTCTAAGCAATCGTGAGCTTGTATCGATCAGTTCACCACCTTGATTGTGGCCAAGCATCAACCTAAAGGTTTCAAGCCTCTTTCCCTTGTGAAAGTTGCACGAAAACTCACCATCTAAACCGCAAAACCAACTCTATTTTGTGGGTTCTTGTTCTAGACAAACAATCCGAAGTTCTAGACCTCTTGGCTGCATGACTTTGATCTAAAACCCTACCTTGGGGTTTATCACAAAGCGTTGTGGGACCATGGCCATTCGCTAGATGGGGCCTTGACCTTCTGGGACCTTTTCCCATGGCTCTGCTAGGAAAGAAATATCTGGTGGTGGCAGTTGACTACTTCACCAAATGGATCAAAGCAGAACCGCTAGAGACGATCACGAGTGCCCGGGTGCAAAATTTCATTTTCAACAACATTATGATTCGCTTCGGTATCCTGCAGTTAATCATCACCGACCACGGTACGCAATTTGACTGTAAACCGTTTGAAAACTTATGTGCCAGAAACCACATCACATGCACCATGGCATCAGTGGCATACCCACAGACAAACGGTCAGGCCAAAGCATCCAACAATTTTATCCTCTAAGGGTTGAAGAAGCGTCTTAGAGACGCCAAAGGGGCCTGGACAACTAAGCTCCCTCATATCTTGTGGGCGCACCACACGACCCATAAGACCGTCACGGGCGAAACCCCCTTTGCTCTAACATATGGCTCCGAGGATGGGGAGTCGATGGCGGGTCAGAAGGGACACTCGAACCAGAAGAGGACGATCCAGACTGGGTGTTATGTGAGGGAGATGAAACCATATCAGATGAGATCGATGAGGAGGAATGATGTGAGGATGACGAAGTAACCAGGGGAGATGGCGGAGCTAGGTCATCTGGATCGACAGCTACAGGAGGCGTAATCTCAAACTCAGGCAAAGGGTGAAGAAAGTCCAAAGTAGACTTATGCTCCTCAGGAGGAAGTGAGTAAAACATAACCTGCTCAAGAAAGACAACATGACAAGATATGCGCATCCGACGCTCCTAAGGATCATAACAAAGGTACCCCTTATGACGATCCCTGTATCCCAAGAAAACACACCAAGAAGTCTTCGATTCAAGCTTATTGCGCTTCTTTTTGGGAAGGAGAACGAAGCATACACAGACAAACACCCTTAACCATGAATAATCGGGTTGTTTAGAGAAGGGACAAAATTAAGGAGAGCGATCTTGCAGAGTGGAAGTAATCTACCGGTTGATCACATAGATGACAACATGGATTGCCTCAACCCAAAATCCACGGGGAACTTGCGCCTGCAGAAGAAGAGCTCGCGTCAGCTCCAGCACATGCCGATTATTCCTTTCAACCAATCCATTCTGCTGAGACACCCCTGGACACGACTGCTGAGAAATAATACCATTTGATCGATAAAACTCCAGCAGATGATCAATGAGTTCCGATTTCTTCCGCAAGAAATAGATCCAAGCATACCGAGTGGCATGATCAATAAACAACGCGATATGACAGGTGAAGGGCCCCATAAATCAGTATGAATTAAGTCGAAGGGAAACTCATACACCGTGTCACTCGAAAAAAAGGAGGATTGAGACGTCTTGGCTTCAATACACTTAATGCACAGTGGAGGAGAACCAAATTTAGAACCAAGGGAATCGGGTAACAGATTGCGCCGAAACATACTAAGTAATCGAGAATTATGAGGATGTCCAATACGTCAATGTCATAAATCCCAAACAAAGGTTCGTACACTGAAATCCAAAGAATTCAAAGACCTAACCGAACAAGCCAACAAATCCGGCAAATCAAAAGACATATCAAAAAACTGATTCTGATTTAACAAAAAATCATCTTCAACATAGCTCCTGTCAACAGCAAAACCGTCGCCCACATCTCCCAATGTGTTGCCATCCTTCAAAGAACTCAGCTCGTTCGCATCCTGTCGAGGCGAGGCGAGCAACCCAATTCTTCAAGGACAAAAACACAACCAGCCTTTTTACCTTTCCGCAGAATCTTCCCCGTGATCTGATCCTGCACAACACAACCCTGATTATCAAACTTAACTGCACACCCATCCTCCGTCAATTGACCAACTGAAACCAACTGAGGAACTAACTGGGATACATAAAGAGTATTGGGCAATGTAACCATGCCAATCATAACTATACCCAAACTCCGAGTAGAAAGTTTGGCCCCATTGGCCACTTGTAAATATGACTTAACGCCAGTATGTAAGGATGAAAAATGTGATCGATTATTAGTCATATGATTAAACTACGCTGAATCAAGAAGCCAGTGAGAGGGAATACCTTTACCACCACCTGTAGCAAAAGCGGAAGAGAGAGCCCCAGGGAGAGCATCCTGTAATGCCTCGGCCACCAGTCTACGAACATCAGCAAGAGTGAGGCCGGTCGAAGGAGGAGCTGCGGCAGTCGAGCCACCCGTCGAAGAAGGAGTTGTTGTTGTCGAGCTAGAGGGAGCAGCATTCACTGCGTAAACAGGACAAGTAAAGCCACCACCAGAACCAGACCCACGAGCTCCAATGGCCTGGCCTGCATTGTTGCGACGCGCTGCAGACTTGCACTCAAGAACGATATGGCCAGACTGCTTGCAATAAATACAGAAGTTCTTTTGCTTACAGTGGGGTTGAATAAGCCCGACTTCATGATAAAAATGGCAAGTGAGGCGACTAGTATCGCCACGCTGGAACTGAGGACGGCCACCCCCAGAGCGAGCCACAACAAAGGCAGAATAAATATGACTGTCGAGCTGGGAGAGGCTGCAAAGACGGGTTTCTTCGCAAAACAGCTCCCCGAGAGACTCATCGATGGAGCCAACATTGTGATGGAGGATAGAGGCGCGAATAGCTTCAAATTCAGGATGAAGTTTCATAAGAAACTGCATAAGTCTGGAACCATCTCGATCTCGAAGAGTAGCTGCAGTAGCAGGAGTGTCATTTAAAGAGGCCAACAACATATCCTGCTCAGTCCAACGAGTAACAAGATCTTGATAAATTCCCAACATATCATAAGATTCCCTTTCTTGAAAATCCGCGCTTTTCCAAACCCAGAAAACAGATGGAATTCTGGGCTTCTTCCTTGGGGAAAATACTTTTATACATACTTCTTCTGGTTGATCTATACCATACTCTATTCTCGTAAGATGATATACACTAGCTAACAGCCCTATCGGTGCTACATCATAGGCACATTGGGAACGCAGATAATTGTAACCACATACATATAAAATGACAGCAATGGAATGCCAATCCTCGGGCTTTATTTGTAAAGTCTCTATTCCTTGGTAATCAAGCCCAAAGTTCTATGAACTAGTCCATGTTTGACCAACCAAACAAACAAAGGACCCTGCATCTTTTTTCTCTCTCCCGCTTTTTTTTGTATAAGTTTTCTCATTTATGATACGATGAAATTTCTGAAGATTGACTTGATTCTTTACAAAAGAATCCTTCCTCGAATTTACTAAACTAATTCATGGGACGATATGGACCTTTTGTATTTGAATAATATTGAACATCACGATCCCCTTGAGTGAAGGTGGCAAGCTCACTCTCAAGTTCAAACTGACGAGATGCGTTGTTCTGAGAATGAATAGCACAGATATGAGTCCACATCTCACTAGCCGTAGCAAAACGATGGAGACTGAGACCAGTGCCCATATCAACCGATCCCAAAATCTAATTAATCAATTGGGCATTGCTAGCATCCCAATCGCTCTTCTCCTTATCTGAAGCTATGTCAGCAGGCTGGGGAATTTTGTCGGTCAGAATTGGAAGCAAACGCTTCCCAGCCACAAAACTCCGGAACTGAAACTCCCAGAATGGGAAGTTCTTGCTATCAAGTTTGGCTGTAACAACCTCCATCCTTCCTGTTTCCATGCGCACAAGAGAAGACGAACACAGCGAAAACAATTAACCAAGGAAGCAAGAAAGGAAACCCAACCTGAAGCGATGTGAAGGCCAGCCGAGACGAAAACCCACCAGCGATGTGAAGAAATAATGCCAATATTAATAATGCCAAGACCAGATTAATAATGCCAATTGCCAAAAGCCAAGAAGAAACCCACTAAATAAATGAAAGGAAGCTTTCTCAGTAGAAGAAAAGAGCTCGCTGAGTGTAAAGGCCAAGAAGCAGACAAATCCCGCCGAGAATAATTGTGTCAAGAAGCTAACCAAACCCGCCGAGAATAATTGCGCCGAGAAGCAGACAAACCTGCCGAGAATAATTGCGCCAAGAAGCTGACCAAATCCCGCCGAGTACAAGAACGCTGAGAATAATAATCACCAGCAACAGATAAAAGCCAGCCGAGAAGAATAATCGTCACCAGCCACAGACAAATAGAAGAAACCCTAATCAAAACCCGCCAAAGAAGAATAATCAACGGCAACCAAAACCCTAGTGAAGATCCCGCCGTAAAAGAATAAGCAGCAGCAATCAAGGCCCTGACAACAATCGATCCCAAGAGCTTAGATCGCAGGCTGTGATACCATGTCAAACTTGCAAGAAAACATAAAGAACACCGAGTTTTTTAACGTGGTTTCGTCAATATGACACTAGTCCACGGTGAGGATCTCCCTCACATGTTTTAGGATTATGTTACTTGATACCGTTCACCGGTTACATGAGTACATATATATAGGATTTTTAACCTAAACGCAGCCAACTATGCCCTAGGTTAATTACATAATGATACATATAATTAACAAGGATCGTGTCCTTACAAGCCCATATACATCAAACCAATGAAAGAACAACTATATATTAGCTATACAAATCATAGAAAGCTTCTAGCTGCCTAAGCTCGACTCTGAATTGTTATACTCCTCCTACATAATAACCAATCTCATCTTTCAAGTGAAGAAACAGAGTCTGCCATGATTATTCTGCTCTGCTAAACACTCGAGTACATCTCTCCTTCCAAATCAAAGACATCTCCCAAAACCACATTACACTACTGACTATTCCAAACACATTTCCAGGTTTACTCAATCTGCAAACAGTTCGCATCAGAGTATCCCAATCACAAAGCCACGTACTTCAAAAGTTGCCAAAGATTTCGCCTGGAAAACGCAACAGAGTAACTCCAGCAACAAAAAAGATGTTCTCTAGTCTCCTTCGCAACTCTTCAAAGAACAAAAATGCATGTATTTACTTTCCCCCAAACAAGCAGCGTATCTCGAGTATAAATTTTGTCCAGTATGATTAGCCAAGAAATGAAACTATTCGAGGTATATGGAGCTTACCCCAAACCAATTTCCACCATTCCACAAGATGTTTCTTTACACTGATAGACTTCCGAACTCTTTTAACACTAAAAAGTATCATTGGATACCCTCCCATGTGACTTGCCCATCAGAGTTGAGTCTCATTCTGAACTGATACCAATACCTTAGTTTGAGCAGGCAACGCCAGATTTATGACCTTGAAGACGTTATTAGTACATTCCAAATGGTTCTACCTCTTATCATGTATAGAATGATCCGTGCCACCCAAAAACTTCCACTCTTCATTAAGATTAACCACAGAAGACGTCCCACACAAGCTACATTCCAAGTGCTAAGATCTTTCAAATCCAACCCCCTTCTTTCTATGGAACAACCAAAACTTCCCAAAGTAAGAAAATAGACATCAAGAATTTGGTAATAAAATACAACACTGAGAGATAAGTTGAAGCTTGCTAGCATAGGTTAGTTTACTTGCTTTCCATGACCTTATCCTACCAGTAAATCTTTCCACAAGTAGGCCACATTCTTTACTTGTAAGCCTCACATAAGTCAAAGGTAACCCTAAATACCTTACAGGCAAGAATTCCTCTATGAATCCTATTTGTTTGCTTTATTTTTTTACATTTGTTTTGCTTTATACCTCTATGAATCCTATAACAGCCAATTTATTGTGCGTTAAATCCCAGGAGCCCCCCCCCCCCCCCCCCCCCCCCCCCCCCCAAAAAAATGTCACATTTCATATAGGGTTTCAATGCAAACTAGACAATTCAGAGAAGTTTAGGACCCATTTCACACAACTTATTGTATAGGCAAAGTCGTCTGCAAAAATTATCAAGTCGTCTGCAAAACATAAGTGTGTAAGATCCAGATTTGTACATTGTGGGTGATATGGTAGCCTACCCTCACTAGCATCATTGTCCAACATTTACAATAGTGAAAAGATATGGAGACATTGGATTTCTTTGTTTAACCCCTTTACTATCTTGAAAAAATCCAAAGAGGCTACCATGTAATGTGGTACTGAAATAAGCCCAAGTAAGGCAACATCTGATCGAATTCACAAACACAGCTGGAAAATTCATTATGTTCATGACACAAAATAGAAAACCTCATATTCTACGTGCGAAGAGGGACTAGTTCCTATGAAATGAATTGAATGCATTCATGAGATCAATTTTAATCGTACATATAGAAGAAAGTATTTTTTATTGTAGTTCTGAACTATCTATTGAGATACAAGGATATTCTCCAAAATGCTTCTATCTTTAACAAAAGCATATTGGTTTCGACTAATCAAGTTAGGCAAGACAATCTAAATCCTATTTGCCAGCACCTTCGATATTATTTTGTAAAGGACGTTAATGCAGGTAATAGGTCTAAATGCGACTAGGACAATATTGGGGAGGTGGCATTCATACCTTTAGGAATGTGACCAGTTCTGAAGAAAGATCGAATGCCATTGCAAATGTCATTTACAATCCACTGCCAACTTTTGTGAAAGAATTCCACAATCCATCTGTCATGACCAAGGCTTTGTCTAAAGCCATTGAATATAAAGCAGCACAAACCTCAACATTAGACACTTCAGCTCATACAACAAGACCATATCCCTGTTTAACTTTTTAGATATATGAGCCTTCAGAAACGCCTCATCAATTCTGAAACTATCATCCAGTGCACCAAACAGTTGTTGATAGTAGGTCACGTCCTCCTAAGATTTTGCTCGCTATATGAAAGTGGGGAGAATCGGTTTTCTAATTTGTTTTCTTGTTTTCCTCACCTTTACAGACTTATGTAAGAATCTAGTGTTTGAATCCCCTAGAGCTAACCAATTTATCCTTGACTTCTGCCTATGAAAACTTTCTTCATACTGATTTAGAGATTCAACTCAGATACGTGCCTCACTTACTTCCTCAAATATGCTGGTGACTGGTGAATTCAAAGTCTCAGTATGCAAATCTCTGAGGTTTGCTACAGCTTCTCGAACTTGAATAAAGATATCCGAAATGTAGTAAAATTTTGTAAATTGTCTACCGCTTCTCAAAATTTTGTAAATTTAAATGTATATTTTGTAAGAATTTTGAAAAATAGAATAGGTGGTAAGCCTTTAGCCCCCTCCCAGTTCAAATCATTTGAAAGTAAAATTTAAGCCCCCTCTTTCAGATTTATGGATCCGCTACTGATAATGGGGTAGTTCCAGTTAGAATAAATTAAAAATTAATGGTATTAAATCTGTAAAATAGCCGAAGACAGTACTTCAACAAAAACACATGGGAACTCACCAAAATTTAGGGTTGTTGGTTTTTGTTATAGTTATTGTAGTATTTCAATAAATTATACTAGTTTTTAGTGAAATGTCACTTTTATCCTTTGTTTAATATATCAAAAGTTAGGAGCATAGTTGCAAGAAGATTAAACACTCCCAACATCTCATCTAATAGGTGGGATTTCGCTATTCCTATTTTGAACGATAATTTGCGCCACCTCACATAAACAATGCTTGTATAGTTTGTTCAGAAAAAAAAATAATGCATTAAAAAAAATACAACATTGGAAGAGTTCCAAACTTTCAACCAAACTATCAACCAAACCACTTTTTTTTGTCAATAGCTAACTTGCATTACCAAGATGAAAGATATAGAGTTTACACTTTACATCATCGAAATCGTCCAAGAGCGAAAATGAAACCCCGAAATACTAATAGGACACAATGAAAGGGTTTTCTTAGCCACCGAATGGGCTACCCAATTGCTCTGCCTACCAATAAATCGAATAGAAAAATCCTGACATTGGTGCTTCAAGACATTAATCTCCTGCAATATCGCACCGCCTTTCGCATCTCTAGTAACATTGGAATGAATTTTATCAATCACTGTCTGCGCGTCGCCTTGAAACTCCACACCTTGGATGTTGTGGGTCAAGAACCACCGTATTGCATCCCGCCAGATCACAAACCACCGCCCCACCCGCTCCGTGCGACTATCAACCAAACCACTCTGAGGTTAGTAATTATTCTTGGCCTGGATTTATAGTATCCATTGACAACTCCGTGGAACTTTTTGTGGGCTAGAAAAATAGAAATGCTATCATTTTCAATGGGCCCGACTTACTTTGAGAGTCTAGACAGCCTTAGAGCATCTCCAATGGTGCAAATGGAGAGAGTTGCAAGGCAGCCATGTGCAATTGAAAAAGTAGATGGCATTGATGCAAGACCACTTCCAAGTGGTGAAAATTTGCACACCATGAAAATCTGACACGCAATTGCAAGTGGGTCATTTGTTTATTTTTGTTTTTTCTTTCTTCTTTTCCCAACCATTTGTGTGGTATTAAAATGTAAGTGGGACCCATAAGTGCAATTGCATTGGAATGACATTGATATAGCTAGCATGAAATTAATAAGTAAAGTAATTGCTAAAGTTGTTTAGATGGCAGTAGGAACCACACTTGAAATTGAAGAAAGATTGCATTATTGGAGATAGTCTTAAGGAATACTGAACAAGTTATCTCTTGGCCCAAGTACCTCGCATGAGATAAGAGATAGTGAGTGAAAAAAGTATGCAGTTTGATTTGACCGAATGGAACTGATTTCAAATGCTTTTAGTTTGTGAATTTCCATAGCTGGGTATGGCAGGTACAGGATTGGTCGATGTTGAAGGAAACTATGTATGAAATGAAACCTTAGTAGAAGCACCATAAGTGAGACACACATCATCAGAAAAATTAAAATCTTTTTTCAACAATCCAAATGACTAAAATCTTTGGATGGTTTACAATTTAGAGATTTGGAAGATGAGGAAAGTAAACTAACACCATCATCAATCTGCAGAATTAACATAACGGGTCGGATGCCATCGACCTTTCTTATTCCTATTAACCAACGTGTGTAGTCATAATTTATTACTCTACAATACAGATTATCTGAGCTCTACAATCCAAAGGGGTTGGTTCTATGTTCCACACCCAATCCCCAGCATGCTACGTTTAATTGTGGAGCCCTTTATCAGTCGACACCACCAGATCATTTCATGAGAATGCATCTAATTGGTGATCCTTCAGCACGGATCAATCTGAGAGGTAGGCAATGTACTGAATATATCCCTGGTTTTATGCCATCGAGCTTTAGCGCTTCCACAAGAATGATTTCCTGCAAGATTTTCCGGGTTATTAGGGAAACTGCAGAGCTTGGACAGATGATGACTTAACGTGGCAATAACCCAATTCCCCCAAATGAAGTGTTCATTAGTCTTACCCTGCTGTCCAGAAAAACTAGATGTGAAGGAATCAAATCAGTCCAGGCAGCAACTGACAGATAATCAACTCCTATACATAGGCAAGAAACCAGGTGAGGATTGCAACAGAAGCAAGAACAATCACTATTGTTTCACAAAATAGTGCCCAGCACCACAAAAATTGTCAATCCGCATAAATAATAGACAGCGCAGAACTGAAGCTAAGGTCCAAACTCGTATTGTTAAGACCAAGTAACTTACCAACAAGCTTGATGTCCGTGTTGTCCACCAACCACTGAGCTCCATCCTTGGTAAATCCAACGTAGCTCGTGTCAAACTGCTTTTTGAACATAAGCTTCCTGAAACGCACATCAAGTTCTAGCAATGTCAATGAACTCGAGGAAAGCAGAAACAAGGCAAAATCATCCACTTCGCATTAGAGGGTACAATTCAACATCTTTCCCTAAGAGCAGGAATTAAGAAAGAAAGCTTGAGGGTGAAGTATTTAGTTGCATATTACTCCAGAAAGGTTCCCCAAAAATATTTAAAAAAAAAGGATCACATAAAAATGACAAACAAAACAAACAGACGGATCCACAGTAGCACAGAAAAGCTTTAGGTAGCTTTTGTTACACTTTAAGATACTAGCTGTTGCAACATTACCATAACAGAAGAAAAGGAACAATATTATAAATCGTATGCTATATGGAATCTGTCAACGAATTACACCTTCATTACAACTAAGAAAATGTTAACCAATACAGCAATACTTGAGGAGCTCAAATATCACGAATACACTGATGGGAAAGAATGTACCTGTCGGTGTTTAGCGTCCTGAACAGCACACGACGTACACCCTGGGGTATGTTAAGCGACTTCATAGCTTCAGCTGCAAGCAATAATTGGCCACAGAAACAATGAGAGACCAAACAGAAGGAACAAAGAACCAGCAGGTGTTTAAGTAAAGGACATTAGCTCAGCCTCAATTCTTCTTGGCTTCATATCATACTTACAAATTCAATAAAAAGAGCATACAGCTTCCTTCCTAGTCAGGGGTGGGCAATGGTCAGGTGAAATCTTAAATTTTATAGAATTTGAATAGCACCATAATGGAAAATTGACGGGACGAGGATCACAATTAAATTGAAACACGTATTAAGTTCAAATCAAACCAGTTCGGTTTCTTATTTGGTTTGTGTATTTCTTTATACTAAAGGAATCAAATCGAAGAGTAAGCAAAAAAATATTTTAGATTTAAGAGTCAGAAACCAAATCGGATTATTCGATCAAATATCACATATTCGTTACTTCCCCCTGATGGCTGCCCTTCCTTATTAACCTTTAGATTGATCTGACTAGCAAAATGAGAGGAAGGAGCTACACTTCTATAGCTCGAGTTCAACAGACATGACACCGACCTTAACCATGAAGGAGCAGCCAAGGAGTTGTCTACTTGTCTTGGATTAATTAAGGTCTTGGAGTTCAACATTTGTGCACACAGCAATTGAAATACAGTTTTAAAACCACAAACCTATAATTTGGAACACACCAAACCATGGTCTTAAATTTCACAATCGTCCAACCAAAACCCTACTCCTCCAGCTCCAATACCCAATAATATCAACAATTAAAGAAATACGGAACCAGCTAAACAATAAAGCGTACCAGTCAGATTGGTATCTCTCGGCACATCAACAAGCAATGCAGGACCTGCCAACGAGCAACAGCAACAACAAAACAAAGCAGCTCAAGAAATTTCCCTTCAACCAAAACATGAAAAAATGGACCCGTCAAACAAATCCCAGAAACTCTTCTAACCATTAAGAACTTCCAGGTCGAGAGTGTCGACATCGAAACCAGCATCGAAGTAATGGTCAAAAACATGGCCAGGGGCGTCCACGTGAGTTCCGGTATGGGTAGGGAGCTTCATCTCGGAGTTATTGGCAAGCGACCCATTCTTCATACTCTTGGGCAGCCACAAAAACTGACCCAGCCCATCGTCACTCTCCCACACCGGCATATCGGAAGTGTACCTGTGGGTGATGTCGAATAGCTTCCCATCGTCGTAGACCTCCCGCCGGACAGGGATTAGGTCGTCGGATGGAGCGGCGGAGACGGAGGTGTCCACCGTGCCGGGGATGATCGGGTATGCGGCGGACGAGCCGGCGGCGAGCGGGGAGAAGGAAGAGGTGAGGAGGAAGAAAGCAAGAAAGAGAGAGGGAAAAGTCATGGCGATGGAATTGGGATGTTGCTGGATTTCTCAAGGATCTAGTAATCACTAATCAGAGAGAGCCGTAGAGAGTTTGGATTTGGCCTCTAGAGAGTTGACGACATTTGCTAATTGTCGTGATTTTGATTTTAGACCAGAAAAGAAAAAGAAGGAAATTCATCATAATTTCGTCGGCTTCTAAAAGGCCAACCTGATGGCTGATTAAAGAGATTGGGCCCTTCTACCTGAGCCAATAGGCTTGGGTCCCTGGGCATCTGAATGGATCTCGTAACTGTCGGGCTTTTAGGGGATGGTTTGCATCATATATTTGGATTTTGGATGGACTAATATCAAGTATAGAGGTTGATATGTAGAATGAGTTTATCTACATTGAATATATCATATATGTATTAGTTGAATATACCTATTTCAAAAATTGATTTTTTAAAAGTTTGAGATTATATCAACCATACTGAGGTGTATCCAAAAAGTTGTTGGTGTGTATTTTATGGTAAAATTGTGATTTAAGCGTAGTTCAATTGTTGCTATATAGTACATATCGCGTACCAATTTAGACTTCCATAAAGTATTTTCTGAACAAACCTCTTGTATGAATTTTCTAAGGTAATTTATTTTTCCGCATTTTAAAATATTAGTCAAATCTTTCGAAATGCAAAATATTAGTCAAATATTTTGTAACACATCAAAATATTAGCCATTTTTCTATTATAGTTAATAATTTTGTACCTGTTTTCTTAGTTAAAATATTAAATTATGAAATGTTGATCTCCATGTGTCTCTTCCAAGTCAGTATCATGTTGTCAAATCAATATTACCAACAAAACTACTAACTGGAAGTTAACATTTGGCTAATATTTTGTATGTTGAAAGGTTTGAATAATATTTTAAAATGCGAAAAAGGTTTGGCTAATAATCAGGTTATTAAAACCAAGCCGAACCGATCAGTCGGACCTGTAAAACCGACACCCAACCACTAGTTCGGCTCAATAGAGTTAAAAATCTGTCACCTTCAGATCGACCGGTTGGCTAGCGGTTTGAACAATTAACCGCTCAAACCGACCATACGGTTCTGAGCAACAACCCGTCCAATTGAAAAAAATTAATCACTGGAGAAAGCTTTCGCTTGCCGCGACCCTCCTGCCCACTACAAACGTCGTCCAACTCCCGTTGAAAATTTAATCGCAGACAAGAAAGAAGAAATAATGGAGAATATATACTATAGAGGAAGGGATCTGAAGATCCTAGGTAAATTCCAAAAATATTGTCTTTTTTTTTAATTTACCATAAAAATGGTGGTTTAAAAAGTATTGACATAGTTATTGTGTTTTGGAGAGCAAAATCGGCGAGACTGCCCGAGACTCAGGCGCTGCCGCTATTTCTGTATTTTTTTTAAGCAATTTGATTAAGGTGAGAGCGGGGGCGCCCAAGACTAAGGCGGTACCGCCATTCCCAAAGGTTTTTCAGAATGTCCAAAAAGGTTGACCGGCGGCGGCGCTAGAGACTGAGGCGAGTTTGTGGGAAATTGTACCCAGCGATGGTGCCCAAGACTAAGGCGGGTCCGTTGGCGTACTGCTAGCCTTTACCCCATAAAACCAGCGAATTTCATTTCAGTTGCTCACCACAAAAAAAAATCGACGAAGTTAGATGACAGAAGCTCTGGTTGCTGCCAAGATGGCTAATAGGTAAGAGATACATTTATTTTTATAATTATAATCTTCAATTGCTATTATGATTTTGTTTAGTTAATTAGTGAGTTTGTTTGTATGTAGTGATTTTAGAAGATTTGAACTAGTCGTTCGGTGGAAATTGGAGAAAGTATAGGATAATTTGGGCGTCCAATTCGTTGGTAGAAGTTTTCGGTTGACGATGCATATTGTGACACAAAACCCTTATTGTTTGGTTGACTCGTCCCGAATATCACAATTAATTCCCGCCTAAGGTCCAAGTATAAACCTTAGTAGGGTGCAATACAGGGCAAGTATGTTTAAATATCGACTCGGGCCAATTTGTGTACCCCTACTTCAATTGTTTGAAACATTATCTAGCGAATCGGTTTTGGTTGAAAAGTTTGCTAATTAAAGTACAGCAATGCAAAAGTAAATGATTTTGAAATCTCTATGTGAGAAGGATCACTCAGGTGTCGCTTTCCCCTAAATACTACCATGGCACGAGGAATTGAATTAATTGTTACGGGCAAGGTGACCTTGAACTGCTAGGAAACACAACTATGGTCGTAGACCACACTCTCATTTTCCAAACCAAAGGGATACATTATAGGCTACTCAAGTAGCCCTCTTGATTAAGACAATCGATGGTTGACTTACTCTCTCACTCAACCCAAAGGTTGGTCGGCTTAATCGCGCTTAACCAAATTGCTTAATTCAACATAGAGGTTTGCCCTACATTAACCTAGATAGGTAGCTTAAAAGCCCAAGGTATCCCACCTCAATTGAGCCTCCCTTGAAATGAGGTTTTCCCTCTGATCTAGGTTAGAATGGCCAATTGGATTGCTAAACACAATCATGCACAATCAACATGAAAAATACCTCAATCATTGAATTAAACAACACACATAAACAATAATTCATTTCACACAACAATTACATGGAAATTAGTTAGGGTTTCACAACACCCAAGTGAAAAAGAGTACTACTCCATGCTAGAAAGAGGAAGAACACAAGAGGAAGAGGTAGAAACCATCATGGAGATGCCTCCAATCTCCTCCAAGCTTGTGTTGATCTTCTCTTGATGAGATTCTTCCTAATTCACCACTTGGAGCAAACTCTAGCCTTCCTTCTTCCATGGTTCATCCTTTCTCTCTCTAAAATCTTAAGAAGAAGACACTTTCTCACACTTGGGCTCTTCCTCTCTCTTCCTTTCAGCTCACATTATATACCAGGATCGGGCTTAGTTCACGGCCTCAATTCACGACCGTGAACTCTTCAACGCGTCCGTGAACACAGAGCGATGTGGAAACGCACCACTTCACCATCAGGAGTTCATGGTTTGGCCTCAATCTTCACGGTCTTGTTGACAGTGAACTCGTCTCGCGATAGTAACTGCAGATTTCTCCATAGACGTATCGCGGTTCACGGTTTTAGGCTTCAGTTCACGGCCATGGTGGACTGTGAACTCCAATGCTAACCTGTTAACTCCGCCTGGATCACACTCTTTGCCCGGTCTTCGCCTCTTTTTGTCCAACTTTCGACTCTGGGGCTGGTTTCACCTGTTGGATCCTGAAACGCACTAAAACGCACAAAACCTAGCGTAAAACCACCCTTTTAGGAGTCCACGCGCTACAAACGCCCAATGGAAACGGGGATAAAATGTGTGCAATTAGGCCCGAAGCAAACCATTTCACTCAAGGTAGAAACTCAACCTATCAAAGTGCTTTGGGGACAATTCAAAGGGCATAAAGTGGCGAATCTCAAATGGCTATTGGAAATTAACACAAGGACCGTTGCAAGCAATACCAACATCCACCACAAACGACATTCGAGACTAGTAGAAACGAGCAAATGAAAATTCCTCACCTTGTTCATGAATCAATGCAAGTTTCAACAAGATCACTTACCAACCACAACTAACCATGCATAGAGTTCAAGTCCAAGGAACAAACGGATGGGTAACAAAGGTCTTCACCGGAGTATGTTATGACATGCAAAAAAAAGAATGAATCACTCACTCTCTTGACCAGTGGGTCGGGACCTTTTGGTGCAAAAAATGTGCACAATCATCAACTCTCGGCCCTATCGTCTCAACACCGTGGCGGCAAACTTTAAATGCTAGAGTTCACGGAATGGTTGTCATCACTAGCTTATCCGGAGGTCTTAGACACGGGTTCAAATGACTGGCGATTGGCTTGGACATGGGAAAAAGGCTTTTTGGGTGGTGGCAATCACATCATGAGGTCCTACATCTTCAACCTAAAACTGAAGGTTCTATGGTTTCGACTAAGAACCTACCTTACAAACCACGACCACTAGCATCGGCCAAAAACCTTGCTTCTCCCTTCAAACTATCTCCCATCATGAACTTCCCTTAAGCACTCTTCCTCGGTCCACTCTTGCTATAACACTTTGATTTAGTAGTGAAGGAGTTCTAAGACAATGTGGAGGTTTTAATGGCTTGTGTGCCAAGAAACCTCACCTAGAGGATACTCTTTGATTCCTTGTGGCACTCTCTACTTTATTTACCCCAATTTATTACCTCTTTTTCGTTTCTCTTTCTTTTTTTCTTCTTTTTGAGGGGGGGTACTAGAGAGTTAAACATTTGCCACACTAATTTTAACGATCAATCCTCTCTTTTTAAGAACTCACTCCAACACTACTCTTCCTTTCACTTTCGAACCTAGCAAGAACCGCACACAATCCTCCTATGTAGAACCTCAATGGAGCTCAAAAACGAGAGCTCTGGGACACAAGGACAACACATATATAGACACGAAGAAAGGATGTGGGTCGTTCTATTAACACCATTAAGCTCACAAGCAAAACGCTCCTAACATAAGAACAACCCCCAAAGTCACAAGGCTCAAAGGGGTTGACTAGTGGATAATTCATTTTGGGACAATCAACATTTGGGCTTGGACTAATCCTATGCCTCCATCATACTCACTAGTGACAACTGAGATGTTACTCGCTATGGCAAGAGGGATCTTAGAACACAAGAAGAAAAGGATCGGCTCAAAGCTCACATGGCTACCTAGTCACCCAACCATCTATTCCAATTCACAAAGCAACATGCATGGCAATTGTAATCAACAAGTAATCGAGTCAAAACGTCCATTCATTTTTGCACACATGAGAACTAAAAAATTTCACTATTCTAATGCACTTCTCAATCATGATCATAGGACATACTCAATCACATGCAACAATTCAAGGTCAATGCCAATAACCACAAGATTCTCCTACAAACCGGCCACTTTGATAATGCAAACATTGCTTGGAGCCCTCAAAATTTTCAAATTTGGGCATAAATCAAGGCTCCAAGCATCA